TCTGTGCGTCTGAAATGGAGCCACCATAACCCCCCTGTTTTGCAAGGCGCAGCAGCCGCGCTCCCCGAGCCCGTTGCCTTCTATCCGACTTCCACCACCCTCTGCCCGGGGCAGAAGAGGAAAGGACAAGCTTCGTGTTGGGTACGCGGGTGTAGAAAACTGTGGCTTTTTGCTTTTCAGGGCACGAGGTGTTCTTTGTGAACCTGCGCAGGTGGGTGCAGCGTAAAGCAGCTTCCCTCTGGCAGGCAGCGCGCAGGAGCAGCAGCTGGGCTCCCGAGGACGGCGAGCAGAGCTCTGTGCTAGGGCACTCCGGTTAATGAACCGAAAATATTAACTAAGCCAACACCAGCCTAATGGGAAATCTGTCTCCGCATTGTTGCATAATTTTTATGCTATTGAACCAACTAGGAATTGTTTAATCAACAAAGCCAGCAGGAAACCTTCAAAGAGCAGGAGAGTGAAGAGACGAGCGCTCACTTGCCAATTAATTTTGTGAATGCTCAATCCACTCAGGTTTTCTGTCCCAAGCAGCGCTTTCCACTTTTTGTTGGGCAACATCTTCGGTTTCTCTAGGAGGGACTTCTGTGGTCAGCTGGGGGCAACAGTATGTCTAGGTCCACCAGTTCCACCTTCATGTTCCCCTTGTGACCAGCTGCATTACAGGAGGTGTTGCTGGGTCAGTTTGGATCTCACTAATGATGACCACAACATCCATTGGGTGTGTACTTTCGTTCAGGACTGAAGATTTTTTTCTGTATTGGAGTAGTTTGCTGACCAAGCTGTGATTGTTCTATATGAAAGATGAAATCTGAAGGCACAAGACATGCTTGCACTCTCCCATAAGAGCTCTTGCATGAGAAAACTGTATTTTTAAATTCCAATGTATATTCAGTGATCTATTTCTATGCTTAAGTCAAAGTATTGTCAATATGCCTGGATTTTAAAATACTTCCCAGGTTTGTTCCCATTCTGAGCTTTTATTGGGCAGTGATCTTTTCTTTGTTATATGCAATGGACATGTGAAGTGCCATAAAACCATAATCCATGGCCTGACTTGCATATCTTATTGTCTCATCTCTGCTTTCTAGACAACTCCAGTGTAATCTGTAAACTCTTCAGAGCCAAGACACGGTCTGATTTCTACACCCAAAATCCCACCAGCTCTGAGACACCTTGGAGTCCAGAGACAAAACATTTATAATTCCTAAAATTATCAAAAACTTGAAGTATTCTCCACCAAAAGCTTGAAATTAGGAATGAACATACTGTTCACCCTTTTAATAACGCCTGCTTCAACAGACGAGCCAACGCACCCCAGTGACACCCGGGTTCAGCCCAGGCGCTGGCATGTTTCCAGGCACCATCAGTGGCAACCTGTCTGAACCCTGAAAGCAGACAATAAACTGGAGGAGATGGAGTAAATCAGAGATTTGCTTTTGACGCAGTCATGTAACAGCGTGATAAAACTCTTCTGTTTCAGTTCTTATATGCAGAATATGTACACCTCAGTGTTGCATATTTTTTTAAAACCTACCAACTCAATTTGACTACAGGGGGAGTTTTGCTTTTAGGAGGCTTGCATAAATTGAGGGACCAAAATTAATTTCTAGAAACAACCAATGAGTTTCTCTTAGTTACACTGTATCACACTGCATTTTTGCCTTTGCTTCTTGTAGAAATGAAGAATAAACGTTCTTAAACAAATTACCTAAAACTAAACCAACTGAAAGAAATTTTACATTTAAAAATTTTTTCATTTTACTTTTTACAAGTGTTGTTATGGGGATACAACTAAAGTTCTATAAATGAGTTATAGGCTGTAAATGACTTGTACTCATCCTTGTGTATCCTTCTGAAATATGTTAAATCAATTTTTTGAGACTTCTGCAATGTATTTGTCTTTATTCTACATAACATTCAGACGCAATGTTGGAGGATTTTTTAAAAATTAAATTTTATTTAGTTTTTCTATATATTTCTGTTCAGCAGAAGAGTTCCTAACATTAAAAAAGTCATAACTCATAAGTTTAACTGATAGATTGGCAGCTGGTATAAACTTTTAATTAAATTGTGTTGAGTAATGCTGACAGACAGGTTGGGTTGCAAATGCCATAAAGATATTAAAAAGAAATAAAACATTTAATGCTAAAGCTACCACGGATTCCTTAAAAGACAAGGTCTATCTAAACACTTACGTAAACAGCTCTTTCAATCTGAGATATTTAATATGAGAAATTATTTTAAGACTGTTTTGTAAAGCCTTTTAGTTAAGACAAATAAAAATAGACTAGAGATTAAACACAGAGTCTGATTCTTCAAGCCTGATGGACAAATCTTCCCTGGCCTTCAAAGGAGTTCCTTCCTGGCTGTGCTTCCAGGTTAACTTCTTCTGAAAATGTTTTGCAACTGTATTTTAATTCCTAATCAATCATTTAATTTATTTTTTACCTCAGACACAAAGTTAATCTAAAAATAAGCATATCTGTTTTCTTTCTTCTCTGAAGTTGACAGAAAAGTTTTTGCTAGAAAATAAAACTTGAAATCCCATTTTTAGTAACGTGCTGCCAAAAGCAGATACTGCGGATTGCACGAACCCAGATACAAATGAGCAATTAAGCTTCTAGATACACTAAAGCTAAATGAATTGATTTTTCCAAAAGAAAACCAAACAGCAAGTCACTGGTAAAAAAAAAGAAACCACAAAAGCAATAAAGAACATCATAAGCCTATTAACATTACACAGAATAAAGTGCTAAAGGACAATCTCCATTCCAAAGTAAAAATGATTTGCCAAAATATTAACAGCAACAAGTAAAAGGCAGCCTTGCATTAAAGCCAGAGCTGGAACAAAGCACGCTTTGGGTGAACACAGACGTGTCTTGTGCGATTGTGTCCTTCACTGCTTGGTGATGCGAAGCTGCCTGCGGCACTTGGATGCCTGTCCCACTGCCCCACCTTTGCTCCCATTGGCTCTCTCTTTCTCGTAGCTCCATCTCGTTGCATCTCGTAGATGCAAGCAGCTTCCAAAAGCACAAAATAAACCGGCTATCTAATTTCCTGTTGCCCCCCGAGAAGTGCATGAGTTCAGTTTGAGGGGGGAAAGCTGAGGCATTTACTACATTTTTTTTCATTCTGATTGTAAAGGGAAGTAAAGGGCTCCTTGGTGGTCACTGGTGCCTGATCTTCTAGACGGTCTCAGGATGCCCACGTGGGCATGCTCTCGTTCTCGTGGGTGTCTCTGGGTGCATGTCCACAGATGACAAGAATACAAGCATTTTCTTTTGACAAAATTTAAATTAAAGCTCCAAGTGAAGACCATGGAGGGAAAAGCAGCAGGCAAGCGCACGCTGCTGCTTTGTTAGCTTCTCACTCTTAGTTCCCTACAAGACCACCGTGCTGAGGCTCCAGCAGGAGGACTCCTCCTCAGTGCCAGCCTGCCTGATGGCTATTGACATACCAAATACATTCACTGTAATCTCAGTGCTCCTTAGGTGGCACCATCCTTATGGTTTCCTAATGCAGTCTCGCCTGCCCCTCAATCTGAGTGAGGGCTGCTCTGGGATTTATCTATCATGGAAGGTTCCCCTCTTCTCAAGACTCCCCCCACCAGACCTCAAAGAAATTACAACAAAACACTTCCTGTTGAGCTTACATCCAACTTTGAGAACAACATAGCTAGTGTCAGGCTTAAAAGGGATGGATACTTCCTCGCAGAGTGGTGAGATTTCTTGGTTGTTTTTCTTGGGACATTTCTCCAGTCCATCTTTTGAGTCAGTTATCACGAACTTGTCTTGAAAGGTTAAGCTTTCACCCAGTCAAGACAAGTCAGACAACTGGGAGAGGGACAGAGGAAGAACCCTGAGAGCTTTACAAATAAGTCTATCTCCTATTTATAGTGGCCAAGAAGGAAGACTGATGTGGACCTGGGACTATCAGCTCCCAAGGTTGTAAGAAAGGAAAAAGAGGTAACATGCATACCAGTGTATACACAGAAGCACACACTATGTTATAGCTAAAAAATGTTCATCTGTAATTGCTCAATGCTAATTTTGATCTGTTCCTTGGTTTACTGTTTAAGATCTTACATCTAACTTTGCATTTTGGAGTAAAAAACATTTTTATTTACTTTTTCATTGGACTTCTTATTCCCCCAACACTTGCTTACTACAACCTTAAATTCCTGAGATACTGCAGCATTCTCTGTCACAACCTTTAGTAAGATAAAGTAGCTATTTGTTACACATTCACCTTTGGCAATATAATTAAAGCAAAATAGTTATGACCCAAATTGTAGCTACTGCTGTTTATGACAGAATGAAGGGTTTTGCTTCTCATTTGTTGAAGAGGTCTGAAAGACTCAATGCACATTCACAGATCAACGTACAACTTTTAAAACCTGTATCAACAGTCTTCTATTTCCAGTTTAATATTATCATCATGTAGGTAGACAAACCCGACATTCACACAGGATCTGGTGGAATCACCCACCAGGAACTAGCACACAAGCAGTTCACAGTAATGAGGGCACGAACCATGTGAATTTTCCTTTTTGATCTAGGATAACTGGATTTGCATGGATTGTGCAAGTGGTTTCGCCTTTTGGACCTCTATCCTTGCCAGGGAATGAGAACTGCTGTGTCAGTGGCTAACTGAGATGATGTCCACTCTTCCAACAGGAGATGATACTGCTGTGATGTTCCTGCCAGTAGCCACTATTAAACCTGCATACTGTGTATGCTACAGCGCAGGGTCAGACTCCACAGAGGAGTAAACAACACTATTCCCTAGAAAAAGAGTAATTCCGTATGGAGGTCAAAAGTGGTAACAGTTCTGTAAACCAAACTGATTGCACTAGAACGATACATTGCATTAGAAACTGGGCTAATTAAAGTTTAACTATAGTAAAAAAAAAAGAGTATTTTTGATTCAGCTATTATGTAAACAGGACAGACAAACCCCACTAAATAACAACGTTTATACCAGAAGAACAATGGACTGCTTTAAAAAGGACTCTTCCCAGCTTGTTTCCACACTTCTTTGGCTCCTTTAATGCTTTCTCTTTTCACACACTTCCAGTAACCTTGAATGCCTTGCTGTTGCGGTACCTGTTAATACAGTTAAAGCAGGTTTAGCATTTACACTAAAAAGACTCTTATTCACAGACTGTGTAAATATAATACGTAATGCAATGCTGCTGCTCCCATAGTTCACATGCATAATAACAAGTTCTTGGTGGCAGCACTCCTGCCAGATTCATAAGCGGTAAGGAATCTTCTAACATAACTTCTTTCTATTCATTATCTCTACTTGTATTTCTACAAGTGTTAACAAGACAGTTGTAGCAATGATCTGTGGTATTTAAAAACAACGATGTTAGCTTGTTACCCTCAAACCTCGATGAATTCGGTTCCTCAGGACTCCAAGAAACTCGCCGTGGCTGAGGCAGTCATCTCCATCTAGATCAAAAATCTTGAAGATGGTATCCAAAACATTATCTGAGAGCTCCTGTCCTGTTGCCACCTTCACTGCTCTCTTGAACTCAGCTGGTAAAGACATAATATTCCATCACAGGTTACTGTGAACTTGTAAAGAAATTGGAAAGTGCACGAATAGCAGGATTCTGTACAATTTACAATGTCTCATGGGTGCCCTAACTGGAGAATTTAGGATGTGTGAACTGGTAAACTATCAGGAGGCCTCAGTTCATGCATTCTTGAGCTTGCTTCATCTTGCATAACACTATCTTTATTAATTGTATGATAAACTTTTGAAATGCACTACTTATCAGGCAACAGCAGGAGTGGTAATTTTTGCTAGAAATAGCTGCGTGCTGAAAACTTACGTACTATTGGCTGATACCTGTGCATATGGATGATAAGTGTTTGCCTCACTACTGTCTCATAAAAAATACTACCATTTTCTCTTGAACCAGTTTCACCTGAATTCATTCTGCAAGAAAACTCTTCTCCTCAGAGAACAGTATTTTACGGTATGCTCTACCTCAACCAACCATCCCCTCAGCAACTCTGTACAGAGACCATCAAATACTCAATGCACATGGCTTTATATACCTCTAGTTCTGTTTTTTAAAGAAGCAGGCTACCTTCCTTTAAATTATGATGGAGGAGTTTATGAGGATTTATGGCAGAAAAAGCTGTCATACCTCTCTGGACATCTACTTTCCTCTTCAGTTTTTTGGCCTTCTCTCTTTACACTACCATATACATTACAGGAATGCCTACTATCCCCGCTTCTGGTCTTGTGGTTTAAAGAATTAGGAATTTTGACTCAAGAAAGATGAGGAAATGTGGGGGGTTGCCATGAAACAGCAGACAGTAAGAGTGAAATGATTATTGTTTATTATAGCAAGCACAATCACAACACATGAATTCGATGCATTTTGGAAGGCATCACGGAAGTGTATATTTCAAGGAGGGAGTGGAGGTTATTAAAGTGTAGCAATATTGTAGATTATTACAGCAAGTTGACCAACTAAGTCATAAATACAGTAATAATGTGGTTCTGCTTTCATAAACAAGTGCTGTTTATAAATTGTGTTATAAATATGATTAGTTCTGAAGCTTATTAGAGGAAAGAGCACTCCTGACTTAGCTCTCATCTTTACCTCTTTGAACAATTCCTGTATAAATGCAGTTGATTAATTTACAGTTGCTTTAAATATAATTAAGTTGAAAATCCTTCTGTAAAATGATATACCACGATTTGAAAAGGACATGAAATATGGGATACTTATAGTACAGTCTTAATTTTGTCTTTAAAAAGATGTTAACTGTTTCAGCTCTTGAAGCTAAATATAAATCCAGAGAAGGTACTGCACTTTTTGGAACTGAATATGAAGGAGAAAAATCTTGTAAAACGGTGGAGCATAATAATCTTCAAACCAAGAAGGGCCACCTTATCAGAGAGAAAAGATGAGCTGCTAACTTAGAAAAAAAAAAGGTCTAGAATAAAAGGAAGGAGTAAAGGACTGTCTTATTTTTAGATAAATATTCATATGTGTGTGAATACACACATGTACGCACATGCAAACAGCAAGACAAAGAACTTGGTGAGATTCAGGAAGGGATTAGACATGTATACATGTAATACCCATGAGTTACCTCAGAAACTGACTGTTTTCAATCACAGTATGGTTCAGTGCACAAACAGTCACAACTGCCTGTTGGTTAGGAACGAGTTTTTACAAGGAACAAGGAAACATTACCAGAGTCAACACCAACTGTTGGCCTCATCATCCTTTGGCACTTAAAAATATGATACTTAATAGAGAAGTGAGTTAAACTCATATCTCGCTTATAACTATTATTTCACCATTAATTCATCCTCTTTCCTCTCCACTCTTTCTACACCTTGTGCAAATAGAATGTGTCTCCCCCCACAGATGAAAGTTGTCAAACCAGACAGAGGAGGGCCATGAACCCAGCTGGGAACTGGAGCACATGATGGAAGAAGAGAAGGTGAGGGAGCTTGGGAAAACAGAAGTGTAAGGAGGGATCTCACTGCAGCCTTCAACTACCTGAAAGGGGTTATAGAAAAGACAGAGACAGATTTTTCTCAAAGGTGCATGGAGGTAAGACACAATCATTGTAAGTTGCAGCAAGGGTTTGACACAGGAGAGAAAAGTCTTCACGATGAGAGTGGTTAAGCACTACAAGAGACACTCGGACAGCCCCCCCCCACATCCCCCTTTGGCCTTCTTTGGTTCAAACCCCATCGAAACATTTCACTCTCAAGAATATTGAATTATCTTCCTGTCTTCTCACATCTCTCTCACCTTTTCCCCATGAGCCCATCAAATATTTATTTCAATGAATGTTAATGTCTTCTCAAATTTCCTTAGGAACTTTTTACGTTACTATTTTCAAATAATTTAGGAGAGCTGTCTTCCAAGTATAACAAGTAAGGAACAGCCTCAGGATTATAACAAACAGCATTTGCATGTCTATGAAACTTTTGTTGTATTGCTTTTATTTCTACTATATGGGAAAGAAGCAACTTCCCTCCTCCAAATCTTTATTTTGAAAAGCACTTTACTACATTGTTTTTCATAGCCATGATTGCATAATGCTACAGAATCACATAGAAAAGGCAGTATGGAGGCATAAGTAAAACACAGCAAGTCACTAAAGACCCTGAAAAAGAGATTTCTGTTGTTTAGTTTCCTCAGAAAACTAGTTTCATTATGAGGAAAAAGCTTTGTTACCATGAACCGCTACTAAAGCATCATGTATTGTTTCAATAAATCCTTCCTAATCTAGAATTTAGATTGGACTGAGAGCAGCCACACAGAGAAGGACTTGGGGATACTAGTGGATGAAACACGGGGCACATGCTGGCAATGTGCTCTGGCAGCCCAGAGAGCCAGTTGTGTGCTGGGCTGCATCAAAAGAAGCGTGGTGAGCAGGTTGAGAGAGGTGATTCTGCCCATCTACTCTGCTCTGGTGAGACCCCACCTGGACTACTGTATCCAGCTCTGGAGCCCTCAGAGCAGGAAAGACTTGGACCTGTTGGAGCATGTCCAGAAGAGGGCCACAAAAATGATCAGAGGGATGGAACACCTCTCTTATGAAGACAGGCTGAGAGAGTTGGAGTTGTTCAGCCTGGAGAAGAGAAGGCTCCAGGGGGACCTTACTGCGGCCTTTCAATATATAAAGGGGGCTTATAAGAAAGATGGAGAGACTTTTTCCAAGGACTGCAGTGACAGGACATGACAAAATGGTTTCAAACTGAAAGAGAGTAAATTTAGACTGGACATAATGAAGAAACTTTTTACAATGAGGGTGGCAGGACACTAGAACAGGTTGCCCAGGGAAGTTGTGGATGGTCCATCATTGGAGGTGTTCAAGGTCAGGTTGGATGGGGCTTTGAGCAACGAGGGAAAGGTGCCCCTGCTTGTGGCAGATGATCTTTAAAGGACCCTTCCAGCACAAACTACTCTATGATTCAATGGTTTAGTCTGCTGTGAGTGGTTCAGCATATCAGCACATCAGAACTTACAAATCTAAACATTTTGGGAACTTTATACTATTATTTTTTCATGAAATAGAATTAATTCAGAATAAAAAGCAGTATTCTATTTTTGGACTTCATAGTGCTACTTTGGGATAACTTATTTACATTAATTCCGTAACAAAAATGCATTTTTCCTTTTTTAAAAAAATACATACAAAAGATATGCAGCACTTACCCCGTTTAACAGGACGATTGGCTACAGTAAACATCTGCATGGCAATAGAAAAATCTTCCAGGTTGTTTGTAAACTTGCAAAAAGTCTTGAATTCTTCCAAACCGATATTCTAGAGTACCACATAATTCAGATGATATATAATGAGTAATATAGTCAAACACAAGTAGATCTATTTCATTAAATCTGGTGGGACCTAGTGTTTAGGTGTGATTGCTTACTCATTGTCAATATTTGTATTTCTCAGTTGGCACATTAATGTTGTTCTTATTTGCATAAAATTCAAAAGCTGCAAAAATCCACTTGGAAACTAGTTATATTAGATACTTATATTCAAATGAAAACCTGTACATACAAATAAGGAAGCAAAACAAAGCATGCTTTATGTACCAACCTCTCCGGCCTCAATTCTGTCTTTCACATTCTGCCAGTAAATTTCATTGTTTTCCTCATCGGTGAAATACAGTAACCATTCTGCAAAGTCTTCTTTTCTCATGACATTCAAACCCTTCGAAAACTTTATGAATTCCATTTCTTGGACTTCTGTTTGCAGATTTTCCATGAATCTGTAAGTGTAAACAGGTATTATCCAACAGCTGATACTTGTATCACTGTATCACTACTACTACCTTAGCTACTAAATGCAGCAGACACTGAATCTTAATCACAGATTCTATCAACATCATTGTTTAAAATGTCACTGGTTTAATTTTACCTGTGCGCGCAGACTAGTTTCCACGACTGTACTGCAATAATGACACCAGTAGGGTGCTCTCTAAGTCTGCATTCATAGATTGCTGCTGCTAAGGTAATGTACAGATCCACTTGGCATATAGCTCTTACTAATGTTTAAAAATGTGCAGATAATGAGATAAAATGATTGGTAAGGCAGTATTACAATGAATGAATGAAAAAGGACATAGCAACTAAAGGCCTGACACATGATTTACGAAATTTCACATTAATAAGAGAGCAATGACAAAGTTGCAAAGTGCCTAGAAAGATGAAGCCCTAATAATCACAAAGGTGAAAGAAAAGAGGAAACTTGAAAGCATCACTGCAGGAAAAGATGATTAAAAGCCTCAAAGACTGTAACCGAAAAGAGGGGTTTGGCAAATCAGTTCTGCACTCACTACAGGATGGGTTAGAGAAGATTACAACTGACACATTCAGAGTGCGGAAGAGCACAGAAAATGATGTTGCAGGTGTTTGGGAAGGTAAGAAGAGAGCTGTCTGAAAAAGGAAGGGGTGAACATCAAGATTTTTAGGAGATGCTCATTCTTCTAGGAAGAAAAAAAAAAGTAGCACAAGAAGCAAGTACCGACCCACAAGTATGGAGCTAGAACTATAAGCTGTAGCTTTGAGTTTCCCCAGTTTGGTCTATGTGGTCATTATCATTTCTTTTGGCCTGATGTGAATTTCAAGAAGGTAAAAGACAATATTGTGCGATCCATTTGGTAATTTCCACTTCAGCAATGAGGCAATCCAAAAACAAGTGACAATTTTTAAATATTAAAGGCTAAAAGCACAGCGATGCTTGCTAGAATCTCTTTAGTACTTCAAAAGAACCCTACTTCATTGAGTTGCAAAAATTATTGACAGTAGAGAATGAAATACTCCTATACTGGGACAAAGCAATTGGTTGGAGAAGAGGACAGCTAAGGGTCTATGTAGCAAATATCAGTAGAGGATCATTTGCTCATCAGTGTTTGCACAGCCTCGCTGGATTTGGGTTCTTTCCCTGGAAATTACTGCATTTTAGTCCGCACAGCTATCTTTAGTTCTTTAATGAGATCACTGGGACAATTAGTAGCTTGAAGGCCTGTGAAGTCTACAAGGGGTTAGCTGTAGACTGCTGTTGCAGCATAAGCTCTCTTGTATTTTTTCCTCTAACAGTTAGAGCTGCACATGCAAATAAAGGGCCAACAAATGCTTCATGGCTCGAGACATGCAGGTAAGTGAAAGCCTGGCAGTGGAAGTGATTTTAACTTTCAGGCTAGAGTTTTATTAGGGTAATACTGAGGAGGGGTATGATATGCTCTCACATTTTATATGGGTATTTTTCTGGTCCAGTAAAGGGTGTTGCAAGGCTTCCACAACATAGTCAAACACATTCCTCCACAGTCCACCTTAAGATCTGGCTCACTTTCAAGTCCCCCAACAATCGCTCTCACAAGGGGATGAAATGCCACAGGACCTGTTTGTGCCACCAGTGTGAAGAGGAGGCCCCTTCACTACAGACCAGCGAGAACTTACTTGCACAGCTTGCAAACCACTCTTCATTTTTCAGATGCAGCTCCTGTCCTTGTAACACGTGAGGTGACTGCTGCCTCTGGCCAGCCCAGCAGTCAGCATGTGCCAGGGAAACGGGCCAGCCCGGGCTAGCAGAAGCAGTCCTGCCCCACCGCCTGCAAGGGCCTTCCCGGATCCTGGGAAGGGAGGTCGAGCTGTGGGACGGGCATGGACCAGGCATGGACCAGGCATGTAGACCAGGCATGGAGTCAGTCCAGCAGAGGCTGACTAGGGCCAATTGGCTGCATTTTGGGAGCGGCCATCAATGGCAAGGAGTAGATGGTATCTGGGATGTGTGGCTTGTGTTTGGCTGGAAGGCACAGCAGAGACCGTGCAGAACAGTAGCTGCATCTCTCACTGTCATTTCCAACCATGTAATGTCTGGTCTGGGGGAGGAGAAGCTGCTGAAAATGAGGTCACTTTCAGAAATATACCCAAAATGTGGATGGAGGGAAACAAGATACCATGTGTTTTATTTTCTTTGCTTTTAATCTATGAAAGGTGGCCACATTTTGCAACAGACTTAAGATCTGTTACTGAAAGTATAAGTTATTTTTCTTGGGGAGCTAATGCAGTCATTTGCTGTACTGGTCAGTAGCCACAGGTGATGACAAACTACATATTCTTCCCTCTTTTCTAAATATTGCATTTCCTGCAGCAGGAAACCCTCAGTGCCCTGCCTTCTACCCATACCCAATAAATGCAGGACAGCTGAAAGACCAAGTGTTTCTACATGCTGAGGAAGGAGCGGGTGGCCCACCTAGCCACACACATCAGCTGAAAGGTGCAGCAAAGCCAAAGAGGAAAGTGAAGGGTTTGGCTGTGGCATTTTTGACGTGTGCTTGCTTCTGCACCCTCTTCTAGTTGGACAGTGAATGAAGCTTTTCCTTTCCCCAGCCCCACTGTGTGTTTTCCACTGCCTTTTCTCAGGCCTGGGTTCTTGCCCTTTCCAGCTGCTTTGGAGCAATGACACTACAGCCTTACTGTGGCACAAGAGACGTGCATCTTGCTGCACTACATGGATTAGGGAGGGGAGCAGGAATTACTTATTTAGGTACAAAAAAATTCATTTCAACTTGTAGGCTTGCTCCTGGCAAGCCAGAGTGGGAAGACTTCCTGCCGTACTAAATGCTACTTGGGGCAGCAGCTGAAACGTGTAATTTAAAATTTATATGTGATAGTCTCCCATATTACAAAAATTAAAATACTGTGAATCATCGCATAAGCATTCTAGGTCACTCTTATTCCCAGATATGAGAGTTAAAAATCCTAATGAGTTTTTTTTTTTTTTAAAGTGAAGTTATTAAAAGTTATTTTTAATGACTTTCTAGTTAGGAAGTAAAACTTGATACTTAAATGCCAAGACACCACTAGGGATACTTGCTTTTGTATCTTCTGGATCACAGTGCGATGAAATTCCTTAAAAATTTCTCCAGGTATTAGGAAAAACAAGCATAGGAATGAAACTTCTTCTCTCCCAAAGTCAGTGGGAGCTGGCCAGGGATGTTAAAGGGAGCCAGACCTCAACTATGGGAACTGGATTCTGATTGTAGATGTGCTCCACACTTCAAAAATAATTACACTGGGAATACTCTTATGCTATAGTAGCTTGAAAATAAAAGAAAATCTTAAGTTTCCAAATAACAAAAAGGAAAGGTAAATCATCAATTCGTAAGATGGGGAAAAGGCTGGGAGCAGACAGCACGTTCTTTAAGACAGCCTGTTCTATCCATACTCTAAAACACCCACGTTGAAGGCCAGTGGCCAAATTCATTGTCATGTTATAACAGCATCCAGAAACCTTATCAGGATTTATCCCTTATTTTGTAACGTGCTCTACTGTAGAAAGAGGGAGTCTCTCAAGACCTTTTGGAAACTCAGCTTTAACAGAACTGAAAATGTAATAAAAGTGGGGAGACCTCAGGAATGCAGCTATTCCCCCTCCAACCTGAGATGTTGCAATTAAGTGCTAGTGTTGTATTCCTTACAGCAAACAAAGTAGTAGAATGAAACACAAAAGGAAGAGTTGGGGAAAGTTTTCCATCCTATACCTCTTAACCTGAACTGAAAGTCTGTTCAGAGCTTTAACACTCTAATACAGACCTGACCAGTTCTTGTCGCACTGATTTATAGGAGGGAAACTTAACAACAAAGATAGCGGTTGATATACCACCCTGGCACTCAAACTCTGCTTCAGCTCCTCTTTGGATACTCAAGTCCTTTTGAAGACTTGATAACCCTCCCTGCACCAAAAGACTGTTGCAAACCAGCTGCAAGGTTGCCTTTTTGCAATTTGACTTTCAAAACAGAATATAGAACATCTAATAATGGCTTGACCGTTAACCTTTAGAGAACATTTAGATTTATGCTTGTAAATTCAGTTTTGCAGGCGGTAAGACAGTGAATCCATCTCACCATTTTCAGAATTACAGGCAAATCCCTCTTTGATTTACTGTCCTTAATGTTTCCAAACCAAACAAAACAAAACTACTCACTTTCATTTACAAACATTCTCAAGAAACTAATCAAGCTATTCCTTTGCTAAGTATATAGGAAAGGAAGAAACAGAGATTCTTCTCAGCACCTTTACTAAATATTTGGGAACTATTCAGATTCAGCTCTGATAGGAATATACAATCACAAAGCCAGGTTTTGTTCCCATCTCCACTTCCTCATCGTCTGACCCTCGTTGCACGAGATGTAATGTCTATGTGTATTAGGGCTCTATATACATATACACACACATAGATACAAGTGTAGGTGCAGAGACAAATAAAGAGGCCATCATGCTCTATTTCTGCAAAGCACTTCCAAATCCCTAGATGAACATCACTGAAAATGTACAAGCTACCATCACAGCAAAGGTGCTACCGGCTGACGATGCCACCTCAAAGAGATTCTGCATCCACGTACGGGCACAAACACAGAACAGCACCAGACAAACGTCAGCACCAGCACTGTGTGGTTCAGCCTGGATCATTCTGGTTTCTTAAATGAAAGGTTTCAAATGAATGTACCAAGGAACTCAAAATACTGAAGTAAAGAAACAGGACAGGTAGGGAAAAGGCATGTTTTGTGTATAGTTATACAATTTATGACCTTCAAGCTAAACCAGAAAATACAAAAGTAACCATGATTAAAGAATATTTCTGGTGCAAAATTCTGGTGCAAAAAACTGATTAGAAGTTTGCAAGCAACAAATGACCTAAGAAAATGCCACAAACTGGATTTGAAATGTTCATTTTCCTTACATGATTAAAGGATGCCCATCGTATAACCATAATGGCAAGTACTTTTTTATAAGTCTTCAAATCCTAATGAGCAATGATTAGAAAATTTTTTGAGTATTCTTTCTATTCTTTCTATACTCTCTGCACTTTTTCCTTTTTTTTTTTTTTTTTTTTTTTGTCCTTCAAGGACATTGTGAGAGATTTAAGCTTGCTTGGGGACAGATTACAGAAAAAAGTCAAACAGTTTACGACTGCTATAGGGAGTGAATTACTGTCTCCTCTTTTATTTGGGATTAGACATACTTAAACAAGATCAGTAAGGGACTTTTTTTCAGGGAAAAAAACCAACAGTGGCTGTCAAGAAGAAATATTTGCTATACCTAGAAAATGAAATATTTTTCTACTCAGAATAAAAAATAGTGCATACAACATAACTGGAAATTAAAGCACAAGTGAAACACTTTTTCGGAAGGGAAAGACAAAAAATTAGTTGTCTCAAAAACCAGGGGAAACCCATGCAAAAGAACAAAAAGCCTATAAATAAAGCCTATAAATAAAGAGAACTTCTGGCTTCATGTTTGAAATGTGACATTCTCTAAGATGAGTCCTGGTATTAGAAGATGACACTGTTGTTGAAGTGCAAAACAGCTTCTTGTATTGAACCCTTCTTTATTACATGATTTTAGGCTTGCTGCATATTGTTTTATATTTTCTTAAACTGATACAGGAGAATATAGTTCCAGCTGCATTTGACTAGGAGGCAACACCTTTACTAGTGACGTACATAAACATACTCCAGAATAATTTAGATTTAAATTTCCTAACTTTTGCCAGGGAAACAAGCTGTTGCTTTTGAAGTTGTGAATTATTATTAATTATCATATGGTCCTTATGTTAAGGACAATACAACTGGCAAGAAATCATGTAGCAGTCTGGAGCTGAACATGTGTTTATGAGTCCCACCTTAAGATCTCTGAAACCACCTTCTTACTACGGGAAAGACATAGGATGGTGTGCATCCTGGATTCCTTCCACTAATTCTAAGCAGGCCCAGGAGAAGCTGCAGAACAAAGTGGGAGTACCACCGCTGATGCTCAGCAGAGAATGCAAAGGAGCAGCTTTGCTTGCTGCTTTCACTGTTCTGGAGGATAGTGAGAAAAGAGCTTGACACTAGTGTCACAAAACGCCTATAAAAAGGTTACCTCCATGCTCCCAGAGGCCAAAGAAAGTGATCTGACGCTCTGTTTCATGGTCTCATTCTTTATGTCTGGTAAAAACCAGCCTGAGGACTGTCCTTTTGTGTATCACCTACCAATGATTTCCCAAGAACCACGCACCAGGCGGAGACAGATGGAGAACAGCATGCTTAACCATTTTCCCTCCTTATATCAGATCAGCGTGCCTCCTGCACTCGGGGCAGTAGGAAGGGAGGCACAAGAGCTGGCTTACATCAGCTCCACATCACCTGAAGAGATGTAGACAGTTTCCATTTTCTTTGTGCCATCTGAATGCAAAGAAAGGAGGACAGGGCCAATTCCTTGCCCTGATATACTGACTGTGGCTGTCTGACATTTTTTAAATGTTTGGACTGAGGACTAAAAGGGTCGGACAACATTGGTGTACACGTAGATACAGATGGTTGCACACTTACAAAAGGATTTTTTAATGTCAGCCAAACTGAAAAGGAGGAAGCATGAGGAAAATATATATAAGTAATGAAGTGAGAATACTCGTCTCAGCTTTCTGAATTCCCATGTAAGTACAGTGAAATTTCACAAACAAAGGATTCCTGCTTTTTTTTTTTTTTAGTTTCAAGGACTCACAATATCTGTGCAATATCTGTGTATTTAACTAATGTGACAAGTTTTAGTGTGTCCTAATCAAACCTAATCACCCCTACTTTCTACTAGGTACTACACCGATCAATGGAAAAGCTTTCTAGGCAAGAACTTGGAAAATGATAAAAGCGTTTACCACCATTATTTTCTGCTTTTGACAATGATCTATGTCTGTACAGCTCATCAGTCATCTCTTGTAAAAACAGCGTGGCACTTTGATCAAACAGCCAACAATAGCTTCCCACGTAAGGTAAAATGTTATGAGAGGCCATCAGATAGAAATCCCATTTTCTCTGAACAATAGGAACCCAGAAATGATGTGCTTGATTTACTTGCAAATAAAATCATGTGAAAGGTGATACCTTCACACAGGTTAAAAAGACAGCGATCCTTTTATTCACCTTTCTGCGTGTTAAACAAACTTCACTGTCATATTGCAACTGAGATGGAGTGTCTACGCAGTGATAAAGAGGCACATTCCAGCTCTACGAAACATAACTGCCACTGTTGAAAAATTACCTGCATTAAACCTTACACTTATCCCACAAATTTTAAGAGCAAGATGTGGGAGTTTGATTTTGATTACAGGCCTCTATCTGTGTGGTAGGCAAAGGTCTTTAACCTAGGTGTTCTGAATGTACTAGTTACATAGTTTCATCAATGTCATGCCTCATTGGGTCAATGTAGGATTTTATCTAAAACCCGAGGCTTTTCAGTTTACACCATATATGCAAACACAACCTTTTACTGGTGCTCTCTGCCTTTTGTTTCATTGAGAGGGTCTATGGTATTTACCGAAAAGGGAGCTGGAGGCATCTTAAACTTATTTTACTCACTTAGATTCCTATTGAGTCACGGTCTTCAAAAGAGAAAGGTTGTTTATTTGAAGACTGATGTGTGCCAGAACCAGTGGAGCCGAACACTTGTCAGTGTTAGAAAAATCGCCACTCTTCCTTTTCTACTCTGGCTTTCCCCAAACCTCTACTGATTGCAAAAACATTCATTTTTAAGAGGGCTGACACAGATTCTCTGCTTCTGAACATAAACTGCATATTACCCCGATTTATTTTTGCAGTCTGTAAACGACCGATTATTTTTGTAGAAAAGGTAATGCTGACACAGATAATCTTCTCTTGATGTTGTGCTGCAATACGTGTGTCAAGATTCACACAGGTATTTAGGCACTTAACTTCCATTTATCCCAAAGAAAGACTGTGCATTTGGATTCTGGGCCCAGGTTCACATAGCAAGATGTGTTTGGAGTTCACACTAACAGGAAAAATTGATCTCCCAAGTAACAGAGAGTTTTAACCAGTTAAGTTGTGATGCTGTGTAGGTGGTGGTCATCATTACTGATTGAAATAAACATTGGAAGAAAGAATGTCATCCAGTTAAAACACTACAGCTGATATCTGGTTGGGTTTTCAAGTCGAAAGCAACCACAGCAAAACTCCACACTCTGATGTAGACAAGGATTACACCATCTAACATGTATATGACACATAAACTGAACAATTCCCTACACCAGTCTTAGAACTTTCTATTAACTTCTGATTGGAAAGCTTACAGTGAAACAGATGGGTTTGCAGCGCTACGTTTCTGGGAGTAATGGCCACTTGGTATTCCACTGCAGTTTCAGTCTGAATTGGTGTATACCATCTGGCTCAGTTTCTGGGAGTAATGGCCACTTGGTATTTCACTGCAGTTTCAGTCTGAATTGGTGTTTACCTGGCTCAATTCTCAGTTCTGACATAAAGTGCCATGAAGTATCTGCATAGTCCCATTGCAAAAGTAGTTCAAATGGTAAAGGCACAGGTAAAGTTTCAACAGAAGCTGGAATTTGAAGCAAGCAGAGAAGCTGCCGGCAGCCTACCATGACAGTTGTAATGAGGAGGGGGGTGCCTCAACTCTGAAAAGTTGTTTTTAATTGATTAGCAGTCACTTTTTTGGTAATTTTTATCAAGAAAAATATTCATGAATCATATTGTCTTAAGGTATGCCACCCAACAGCTGTCAAGAATGGTAGTCTCAAACCTCGTGGCCTCCAGGCCCATTGCTGCTTTGGACTTATCATGGTGCTCAACTCCTCCTGCAGACAGCAGACTCCATGAACTAAACTAGAAATTTAATCATGCAAAATCATGAATAATTTCCTGCTTCATTACCTGCTTAATTTTCTGAATCAGCTCAGTGTAGGTCAGATTAATGCCAGTGTTGGTGCAAAGTAGAGAGGATAGGAAGAGGACTGGTTGCTGTTAGGCTTGCCTAGCTGAGAAAATACCTGAAAAACTCAGAATAGCGAAGTTTTTCCTTTCCTTCTTTTCCAAAGAAATGTACCAGCAACATGGTATTAACACCACAGCTTTCCAGTTCTGCTACCTATAAAATAAAAAACTGTATGATTAATTATTATGCATTGTATGATTATTAATTATTAATTATTCACCACAAATCTGGAAATATTTATTTGAACCGGAATTTCACAAGACATACTTGCAATTTTATTACTGTTCCCAAAGCTATCACACAAGACCTCAGAGCTGAATAATTCTTCCACATCAACTGCTAACTGTATCATATGTTCTGCTTCTAATATTCTGCATGAAAGATGAGTACAATTTACAACCACCTTTGGTGTATTTTATTATTAGAATTGAGAAGGTTGCTGGTTAAACCTTTAAAAACCTTTATGACTAGGTGAATAGAGGCTTTAAATATAGTTAACATCTTTGTAAAATATAGTTAACATCTTTCTAAAAAAGTTCTTGTTCAGGTATTTCTAATTTGTTACAGCCATTTAAAAAAATTCATGATAGTCTAAGAAACAAAACTAGAAAAATAAAAATGTTCACAGTGCTCAATTGTAATATGGTCTTACGCGACTTCTTGCAAATTTTCAATGTTAGTGACTTTTCTCTGTATTTTTTAAATCTGATGAAAAGATTTCTGTAGAAAAAGGATGCACATTATTTCGACTCAACAGCATCTTTAGCAAGCCTAAAACCACACATAATGCTGGATTTCTGTTCTATTCTTCTTTCAGCACTAGCATACTGGCATTTCTTTGAACGCAACAAAACACTAAGCAACATGAAGAGAGATTTTTTTTTGTAAGTCCGGAGGGATTTCAACAAACTATTCTTATGACATCTAAATAGCCTCTGTGTCTTTTATCTGGTTGAAGAGGTAAGATGAAAGACAAGAGTCTATTCATAAGATTTAATACTAATGGTTATTTAGCTTTCAGCATCATCAATAACAAGTCCCATTAGTCCACTGTGTATTTCATGCTTACTGCATATGTGACACAGTTATTTTATAGTTAAAGAGGTAACATTCCTCATTTCTACTGCAAGCTACAAGTCACTAAATGCCAGTGATACGAGTTATGTATGAGCGAATCCAGAAAAAAAAACTTTTCAAGCCATATGCAAACTGTACTTATTGAACTTTTATCATTTAACTGCAGGCAAAGATACCTGACCACAAGGTCCATCCTTCTGAAGTTTAAACACTTCAGATTACTGTGAAGACTGATGCATAAACATTGGTATATGCTTTTTGAAAGTCAAAAGTTAAACATTCATGTATGCTTATTTGAAATTCAAACCCAAACTATTTATGTCAGAATGCAAAGTTTTCCAAGAAGAGACAGAGAATAAACCACATATTTCTCACTGCAGCGAGATTCTAATCTGCTTTTTGTGGTTTTTGCTTACATGTTTAAAGGAGTCCTTAGAAACGCAAGAAATACATTTGCTGATGAAATTTTAAAAACTGAACTCATGAGTACACAATTTAATGCTTCCAATTTAATTACACCATATTAAAATCAGTGTTGCATTGAAAACAAATTGAAAAATGAGGTTTAAAACAACCTTTTAAAAACTAAGTCTGTGTCAGAAAATGTTTTTTTCTTCTATTCATGCTTCTTTAGTTATAAGCTAGAAGAAGACATACAAACAATCTCATCTTATCTAAGATGACAAAGCCTATCCCTGGATTTATAACAAATATGCACCTACTTGTTGGCTACCCTCTTTATCAGTTGAAATTCCAAAGTGGAATTGGCAGATGTCCAAACACCATGTTAGTGAGAGTTAAATGTATTTTAAAACTACAAAACAGTACATTTCTTTAAAACAGAACATGCAATAGGAGACCACAGAGACTACAGCTTAAGGGTAAAATTTCAAAAAATTGCTTTTCCTAGAGTTAATGCTATTAAATTAAAGTACATGTTAGTACATAATTCCTTTTTGTCCACAGAATCATTAGGAGCTTTTGCTGCTGAACTGTATAAATTAGTACTGACATGACAAATCTTTGTTAGAAGATAATGAGAGCTCTGTTAATATTTCCAACACCTCACCCTCCTAAGCTTAGGTAAAAGAATAACTTACATTTGGAATGTCTCTCTTGGCAATGAGAATGAAATGGTAACCTAATCCTGGAGCTCTATAAAGGACCAGACTGGTAGCTTTGAGTCACAGAGCTGCTATCTAAATTGAGTGAAAGTTTGTATTCTGGTGTATCTGGTGGCTTCAGCTCCAGGAGGGTGCACCACTACACCCTCTGGGGCTGCGCGCCTTACAGAAAGCTGAGGCAGAGAGTGCAGAAAAGATGGTGATGTTCTGAGTCTCATCTTGACACAAGCATGGGATGGAGCAGGGACACGTATCTCAACTGGGGAACTCAGATATGTTCCAGGGTCCATTGATTCTGACGAAGAATCCCAAAGACCAAGCTCTGATGCCACGCAAGTCTATATGAACTAATGAACATGTGTGTACATATTACAAACATGGGCTTATTTTCCTAGAGTAATATTAACACCTCGTACACTTTTCAAAAGCACCATCAACTGCTGAATTATGCAATAATTCCTTTTTAAGCAAGATCAGATAACATTTATTCCTCATGACCCAGACTGTTAACATAGAAGCCTGATGCTGCAAACACTGAGTCACGGGCACAGACCTACCTAATCCTGCAGCTCCCCACTGAGCTTCTGACATTTAGGACCTGATACTGCTGCAAGTAGCAACAAGTGCCACTGAGAAGAAACTTATCACACAGTGAGACAGGATTTTCAGAATAATGTACCTAACTGATTTTCAAAACTCATCTGAAATGTTAATAGACTTACTGTCTCTAGATTCTTACCACCTTTCATTGCAGAATTTGCCTGAGGCATGACTGGAAAGCATTCATCATGATTAAATCTGTAATATATTCCTTGTTCTCTTACTTGCTTCCTGGGAGATGGTATTTGCTGTGCAATATCTTCTTTTGATAGAAATTGTAAAAATAATACATATTTTGGACTGAAATTTTTTTTGGTTAAGATAGAAGTAGAGTGAATTGACGAAGAACAGGGGTGGAAAAGAGAGGAGGGTCAAAGAGACCAATATCTTAGTTTCTGTCTGCTAGTGATGTCTCAAATCTTTCCAAAAGTAAGACTAAATCTTTGCAAATTTTTCTGAGACCACTTCCCTGAAATGCTCTTTGTTTTTCAGCTGCTAGGTCAGTCAATTCATCATGCCAGGCTTCCATCCCTGGAGGCAATTTAGACTTCAATCTAAGCAGCCTAGCCTAAAACACTGCTCAAGAACATCCAGCTTTCTGTCATTTTGAGAGTCTCTAAGATGTTGGGATATATCCTCCAACTCAGTTCTGGGAAGAAGGTTTAAAAGATGTATCCATTATTAAATTAATCCTACCAGGTACAGCCAGTCAAAAGAACCATGAACGGGCAAGCTAGTGGGACCAGGACATCTAGATCTCCAAAAGCAGTCTTTTTTGGAAAAGCCCAGCCAGCCTCAAGTGGACACCAGAATGAACAATGTCATCATTTTAGGGTGAATCAGCTTTAGTCATGTACTAAAGTTTTTCATGTTTCGCAAGGCACTTTCTTAAGAGGTAGGATTCAAGAATACATCAGGTCTGATACAGACAGGGTAAACTGTACACATTTTTTTTCCTCCAGAGGCTATAACTGACAATATCTGTGAAGAAATCCGATGGGGCGTTTTCTAAGCAATGAGCAGCTTATACCCAGCATTCAACAACATCCAGCATTCCCATTATCTGGGGATTAGTGGTTTTTTAATGACAACTAATGCCACAGAATGGCTATGCTGTACTGTCAGTGCCTCTAGCAAGGAAGAAGATGTAACGTCATGGACGTCCTGAGCTTTCAGTGTGTCACCCACGGTTCTGCATCAATTCATGGGAGGTACAGAATAAAAACGTTTTCCAGACAACTGTGCTAAAGCTAATCTGGGAGCAGACGTTGTAGGAGATACTTTATGCCAAAAATAGGAACAGGTTCAAACTAGTCTCGTCACCAGCAGGTTGAGAGGGACCAGAACCTGCTGTTCAAGCAGTCAGGGAATGGCACTGTTGCACTGCAAAGCCCGAGGCTGCCTGACCAGTGCACCGCTGGCAGCAGGGAAAAGCAGCTTCTATACACAGTTGGGGACAGTCCCTCACAAGAATTCAGGCCCTGCCTCCCTGTCGTGCCGTGGACCCCCCTCAGGAGCTATGACATTCAGTGAAGCATGCTCTTTTGATTAACGTGGACTTGGCCTCAAAGGAGGAGCACACCCAATCTCAGCATGAGCAAACCTCCTCCCTTTCGGCGCTAAAACTGATTCAGATGGACTGTGACCAATTCCCCCACCTTGCTGTCCAAAAGCGTCCCCAGGCAGTCCCTGTTTGGGCTGCCATCCCAAGTTTCAGTTATCACAAAATGCGAACTGAGCATGCTTACATGCACCATTTCCAGTTTATTCCAATTAATTTTACAAGCAAAGGCACTAGGTAGCCTTCAGAGATTATGACCAGATTCTTACTCTCTCGAATCAAGGACTAAAGCTTAGTGCAAAGCTGTTAGTGTGCCTTCCCCAGCCTGTCAGGAGCCCACACTGCTATCTGCCTTCTCTAGCTATAAGGTTTAAAGCCCTTCAGACTACGTCAAGTAGCAGAGACTAAAGGGGTAGCCTTGCCTCGCACATCTGTGCAATGGAAAGCACAACATGCTTCCAGATGAATTCCTCGTGGGAGCCACTTTTGCTATCCGAGCCAAATTTAATATATGTGCAGAACAGGTACTTAGAAAGATGTCAGAAAGCGTGTTTCTTTGTCTCTCTTGAGGTTATAAAGTCATCAGATCATGTGGAAAACCAAAATAATTTCCTTCTCCGTGAGGTAAACAGCAATGCAGCAGTTTTTAAATAGCTTAATATTTTGTGTAGATATAGCGCTCAGGGACATAGTTTAGTGGTGGGCTTGTCAGCGTTAGGTTGATGATTGGACTAGATGATCTTACAGGTCTTTTCCAACCTAGGAGATTCTGTGATTCTGTGATTTTGACGCCACACGGCTTGGTTCTTTATGGGGTTTACCTGCCTGGAGAGCTTCTTTTAAAGCACACAGGAACATTGCAGTGCTCCTTGATCTAAAGTACCTAAAAGCTTTTCAACAGATTTCAATGTTAATCTGCTGATATAAAAAATACACATTTATGTTGGAAAAGATAGGTCAAGAAAAAAATGTGCATTGCATCTGAACTGAGAGGTGACAAGATTAATGACACACTCTTTTGGAGAGGGATATTAATTTTAGTCTTGGACCAGATTCTTGCAAAATTCTATGTGCTGCACCCCTGTTACAGAGTACTACTGCATGAGAAGAGCATAGCTCTCAACCACCATCTTCCCCCTTCAGTTTAGGCAGTCTTTAGTTATTCTGGCCCAGAGCTCTGCAGACTTTGAAGCTATGGACAGAAAACTTTAAACTAATTAGAAATTCTAGGGAGCAGATGGGCAGGTTACGATGGCCCACAGAGTCTCTGTGGCTGAGGAGATGCATTGCAATGCTGCAATGTCTGAAGGTCCAAGTGTAAAAACCTTGTGCTGACCAACTAGGTGGTGATAAACGTGTGAATGACTGATGTCATTCATTGCTGTTAGGACAACAAAAACAACAACAAAAAAAAGAAAAGACAGACAAGTAGACAGGTTAAAACAACTGATACACAATCAATAGGAAAATATCCATGTGTGGGTCTAAAAGTATACTGCTTATAGTCAGGCTGAATTTTAGTTCAAAAGTTTTCCGTTTAAAAGAGATTAATACAGCTGAGTCCCCAAGTACTCGTTAAACGTTTTAAAAAAAAACATGTAAATGAGATACTTTGTATGAAAATGTGTTCATTACGGAATCCAGAATCATATGTTTAATCATTTGGAAATTAGACAATGCACTTATTATTTCCCAACATGAATTCAGTTTTAAGAACAAATACAGAACATTCTGTATTGTAATTCCTTTCCTAACAATAGCTAAAATTATTTTCTAAGTTTAGCCATTACACAAAGCATATTAATTTAGAGGTATTGAAACTACTTGATAACTCATTAATCTAAATTGAAGGGCCCAAGAGCAAAGTCCTTGATCTACACGACTGCGCTGTACTGTAGATATCAGCAACCATTAGCATTGTTTTCACTACCAGAACGTTAATGCACCTGTCACTATTACAGTATCCTTTTAAGGAACTCAGGGCGTTAATACAAAAGCAACTAGTGCTGTTCACCGAGCAACACCTTCTTCAAAACACACCAAACTCTTCTAGCTCATGCACTTTCCTGTAACACTCTGCACCACTTCCAGGTGAGGAGTCTGCCTCTCCTCTTCTGTGAAGCACGGCCAAGTGCTCAGCTGGATGTCTCAGTGAAGCAGAACAGTTGTGCTAGGAAGCCAGGTGCAGTATCTTCTCCGGGCTATGGGAAGATGGCTGAGGTGAGATAGTCACTGCTTCTGTTGACTTCTGCACCATTTTCTCCAGTCTAGTTAGAAAGAACCAGGCTGCCAGTCTTGTAAGTCTGCATCTCTCCTTCACTGTCTGCACGCATGCCTGGGCTATGAGTAAATCAGATTGCCTGCTCTGCAAAAGTCAGCGTGGAACTTCCCAAAAGACTGGGCTGGTTAAGGCCAGGCTTTTGGCTTTTCTTCCAGCACCAATTATAACATTGGAAAAATAAAATCCCTCAACTGAAATATATTTAATCTGGATAACCAAGTCCACTGCCATCCCATTCAAGGGCCATTACTACGTGGCGAAATTATGAATTTTAGATATGTAAGTCAAAGTCTCAGTAAAAGAGGGAGAGATACAAGCACCCTGGGAGCAAACGAACTACTTTTTCTTTTCCTAATACAGTATCTCAATGAGTATTAAGTGGTATCCTCATACAGTAAATGAATGACTGGGACCTCTGTCTACAGACTGCACAGGGAACACACCTGGATATACCTGGTGGTTAAATAAACTTGCAGACTACCATTTATACCTTATTTTTATAAGTCAGTGACGTTTTCCATTTGGTATCAGAGACCAGCAAACTCCTACACAAATTGTGAAACTGTTGTGGAAATAAAGAACTATCCCAAATACCAAACTTCTGTTGCAGTATCTCAGCTTCCAAAGAACACAGTCAATTTAAAAAACATATTTTTATGCTTTATCTGCAGTGCTTGACAGTAATACTATGACTACTGTAATTATTCAAAATAATGGGTAAACATGCACTGTGTAGTCAGATTCACTGCTTATAATCAACTTCTTTTGTGAGAGACAGAGACAGGAAAGAAAATAAAAATTCAAAGAAAAGTGATAATTTGGACTTTGCCAAGCAGAAATATAGAGACTAGAAGAATTTCAAGATAGCTGTACTCTTTAATTCTTCTTTTGAGCAGACTATAATTCCATTTGTAATCTGCTAAGAAACCGTATTAACTAATATTTTCTGGTTACAACAACTTCAGATTTTTCTCAATGGAGAATTCTGAAGACAAAATTTGAAGCAAGACAAAAACAAAATCGAGACATTCAGGCTCAGGTATTTAATTAGCTCCCAAAAAGCTTATGCATTTATAACTAAATCTGTCCAACTGTATCAAAGTTTCTCTGGAAATTTTATACTATAGCTGTGCATTCATGCAGAATAAAGATCTTTTTTCTTTCACTCTCATGGCAGTTAAGTCTCAATTGAAACTGGTTTTGAGGAGCAGACAGCCCTATTAATCCTAGTTATTTTAATCTGGTGATTGATGAAAAGATTCAGGAAGGCATAAGGTTGTTAGTCAGTCAAACGATTTTTAACTGAACTCCGGATGCATACTGAGGGAGCAAAACTCTTATGCATCACAAGACAGTTTTAGTTTATGCCTAGTAAATATTCAAGGTGTTGGCAATAGTGCCACTTCCCTTTTTTCCCAGGCAGGAGAAAAAGGTTAGAACACAAGCTGGACCAACTCTTTGTAGAAACTGCTGACGCATGATAAGGTTTATAAAGCAGAGCCCTGCCTAAATTTCTGATTGAATGCTTCCAACATGAGCAGTCGCTGTCCTACGCCTAATCACCCATTTTCAGTTTACAGTTGAAAACGAGTTTGTGGTGAGAACAATATCCCTCAGTTCCACTATCCAATTTAAGCACACAACTACAGTAGTGCTGCTGATGGAAGCAGCACCTGATAGTAATAGCTGGAGATAATCCAGCTGTAGTCTTCCCCTCTTTCGCTCCAGTTCATCAGCTGCTTCTGAGGTGTTTTCAGTATGGTCAGGACTTCCACCTCTCTGTTTTCAGTCTCATTCAATCTCATCCAGGCTACAGAATACCTTGTCTCTGTGCTAACTAGAGACTGAAGAAGAGATGGCAGCTAGCAAAGACTCTGCCGAAGGAAGAAGGTAGGTTACACTGGCAGGATTTGGGGAAAACAAACAGAAGAGAGCAGGCATTTACCTGCTCCTTTCACGGACGAGCTGTATTTGCCATTTGCTAATGGTCTGCAATCCAGTGAAACTTCTAACTCAGGTGGAAGATCATACTCTTAAGATTGTTTCTTCTTCTGGTCTGCGTCTAAGCCATTTCTGTCTGGAAGTGGACCTAACTAAAGTAATCCCTGCCTTTGCCACCTCAATGACAGCAACTACTTTTCAAACCAACTCAGAATAAGCTGATATGACTGCAATAGCAGCACTTAGGTAAGTTTAAGGTATCAATTTCTATCTGAAAAGCCATCTTTTCTCATATGGCAATCCAGAGTTTTTTTCTGAGGTTTTCATAAACAGAAGAGAGTTACTCTGAAACAGAGGCTTACTAAATAATGGAGTGACCACACAGTAATAAAATATAGTAATTGCATACATTTCATCAAGAGATCCAGAAATGACATTTTTCTTTCCCAGTTAGAAAGCAGTTGACAAATCATGCACTTTCAATTAAAGTACTAATACTGATGCTTATATACTTATCTAAAAACTCTGAAAAAAAACAGAAGTTCATGGGAAATATGACAATGCTTTTGTAAATAGAAATGTATCTCAATTTCGTACCCGAAATACTGTATCGTCTCCAGCTGTTTTCACATCATCTTCCTTCCCAATGATTCTCTGTAGCTGTATTTGTTAAAACATGAAAAAAAACACAGGAAAGTTACAAATTTGGTCATACAAGAGTCTCATTTTTCAGAAACTTGCATTAATTTCACCTTTTCTTCATTATAAAGTCATTATGTTTCTGCAAGGTTCTTCAGTCATGACAAAATATTTGCATACTTAAGGATATTTTGCTATTCAGACATACTTTTTCCCAGGAATGTCTTATCTACTTTGGTTAATATAGTCAAGCAGAGCATGTGAATCTATCTCTTGCAACCCAGCGCTTACTCTATTTTTAGAGATTTTCTTCCACTTAGCATAAATAATGGAATAAAAGCTTAGCATTTATTCCATAAGACTTTAAAACTCAGGGGTATAACATCAAGGGTCACTCGGGAAATAAAAATTAACCTGTGATTTTCACGCTGTCCTCCTAGGCAGCTTTGCATAGTTCTGCTACAGACATGATCTTCTAGACAGGAAAAACATACCTGTTCAAATGAGGTGCCATACAACTAACAACAAAGAGGAATTTCATTAAATAAGCAAATGCATTTTCAGAACTGGCATTAAGCAGAATGTGGTTTGAGTTTTGCCTCCAGCCCACAAATAAATGAATCTTGAATGAGTTAGCTAAGAAGACTTTTTTTTGTAGTGAAATGACTCACATTTAAAAACATAACTTCCACTGTCCCAAGTACAGCTTTAAGCTAATATAGAAAGTGTTTTAATTTGCAGCAGCTCAAGTATATCTTAGCTGCAAGGTTTCTTTGACTGTATTTTTGCTTGGAAGGTCAACACTGCCACAAGAATGAGTGATTTAACTTAGCACAGGGTATACCTACCTTTCACAGACATGTGCACGAATCCTCAAAAGGACAGCAAAAACAAAAGAAAAAGGGACTTATTACATTTCAGGTATAGATATGGACTTACACCGAGCATTCTGGAGTCGGAGACTTTAGGAAAGATGCTTTTAATGCTCAGGGTTTTCGAATCTGCTGGTTTACTTCTGAAACATTTCTGAGTGATTCCTCACCCTGCCCATTAAAACTAGGAAAAAAAATCCATGACCAAATTTGCACAGCTATGATTTTGTGGGGTTTACCAATCTCTTCTTAGTTTTTTTTTTTTTTTCCTTTTTTTGCTGTGTTGTTCAGAGAAGCTTGTAAGTAGTAAGTAGGAAAAAAAATGCTAACTGTGTTACCAAAGGTCTTCCCTTCGCCTTCAAATTTTCACTAATTCACCTGTGCTGTTTTTTTTCACAGCCTCAGTTTTTGAGTTCCTCAGCATAGTTACTTTCTATTATTATTTTTGAATGGCATTCCTTGATAGTATTTATCAAAATAAATACTGTAAAACAAGACAATTAAACAGCACTAGTTCTTCCAAGTTTCTCCACATTCTTTTTATTTTTGCCCACTTACAAACCAATTGTCTAATACAGTAAAAGCATTATGAATTTCTTCATAGCAAAAAAAGCAATATATGGCTCTGGATAAAAACACAACTGCTTGTCCATATTCTCACTGAAAAATTACATCTTTTCTTACCTGAAAAATCCATCTTTTGCTCACACACAAGAAATACAACTGCAAATACTTTCCAAACAAGAGAAAATATGTTTTTTTTTTCTATTTTGTATTTTATTTTTAAATGACTCTTAAAAAAATCTGCAGAGACTACTAAAGAGCACAGACACACAGTACAACTTTTTTTCACAAGTGTTCTGGAAGATTTAGTTTATATGTTAAACTGTATGTAGATCCTTATAATGCTTGAAACTATTTCCAGTAGTTTGCAGATTTTTTCCAGCACAGTGCGGCAACTAGTCACAAAGGGAGAAGATTTCTGCCCTTGAGAAATGGACTCTAATACTCAACTGCTCCATGTAACATTTAGCTGTACTTAACATTTATATCTGTTCATCATTGGAAGATACTAATGGCTAATTCAAAGATAATGAGATGTATTACGCACAACTGATGCCTCTTTACTAAAGACATACTAAGAAATAATCTTTTGTGAAGATGACAAGAGCTGGCAGAAAGGCTATGTCAGTCATAAAAAAAAAAAAAAAGAATGTTCCAGTTGTTTCAGAGAGGTTAGTGCTTGTGGATGTTCTAGGACCACAGAGGTGTTCTGCACCAAACCACTGCAACTGCTGACAGTGTCAGATGCTGGTTCATTCAGCCCTAGATGAATCTCTACAAGGTTTTTGTGGTACCTACTGTCCAGGACAAGTGTATAAAGACGGTCTATTTAGAAAGTCTAAATCACACAGCTCTTGCATGTGCCATCAGATTTACCATACATCCGTTACCAATATTTTTGAACTGTTATTAATTTTACTTAGAAATCTTTCATCAGGACAGAGTCAGGGAAATTCCTCACTTGCTGGGGATTTGGGGATCTTTGGTGGCCTTATTCTTGATGGGAGGTCTCAGATTAATGTGCATGGGTTATTATGTGCACATCTGGAAATCCCCCTCACCAAGTCTCATGTGAATGTCTTGGAAGTGCAGAGTTCACAGAGGTATCTTACTGTCCTCACAAAGATGCAGATAACATGACTCAGAAATAATTCTTTGCATTCTGGCAGGGGCTGATTAAAGGGTGGCAACTAACACCTGTGAACATGCCATTTCTACCACATCTTCTTCATCTTGGAGTTGCAGGGCACAGCAACAAATCCTTGCGGATGCCCACCTCAAAATACAGACTGCTATGATTCTGGGCCCTAATACTAAGATGTTTCTTATATTGTGAATGTTTACCACTGAAACATGGATGAAGCAGAAATTAAAAACAGATTGGCTTGAACACAAAGAAGAACGGAGGGGAGAGAAGAAGAATCTCTCCCTGGGAAGGGACAGAATTTTAACTCCTACTGGAAACTAAAATGTGCACAGAAATGGAAAGGCTATGGAGGACAAGATGAACTCTCTTCTTCAAAACATGGAATTGGGTTCAAGATCTTTCCTGAACATTAATTTATGCTAGTGAAGAGCACTGAGTATACTGGGAAGTCCTGCATCTCACACTCCTTCAGTGTGTGATTCATACAGGTCTGAACAGCCTATCTCCATCACGTGCTGCAGGCACTAAGGACTTGGGTTGCAGAGTCTGTTTGTCACCCTTCTCCTTTCCTGAATGACTCACGTGACACATCTTGTGCCCATTTATCCCATAACATGTGAGAATTGAGATATACACAATTCAAAGAATGATGGGACAGTTTGCAAACAGAAAGGCAAAGTTCTTACCTCAAAGTTTTTACAGTCTAGATCAACAGATAATGTCGACGTACATAGGTGTCTAATCAGAAGAGGTGACAAAGCAAGAGAATGAAGTAGCACTGAAATTTCTTTTCCCATCACATCCTCCTTACAATAACTGTCTCCTAATTGCTGCTTCTTCACTACTCTTTTCCACTGCCCTTTCCTTACATAAGTTTCCTGATACTATTGTCAAATACAGTGTGGAAATAACTATGGAATAGCTAGATGTATTTTTCTGAGATGCCAACTGGGACAAGACAAACGACAGATTAGCCACACAATATAGAGGCTTTCTATGATGCATACAGAACTAGAGTAATACAGAGATTAACACACAGACATTTTTCCAGATTCTTGCATTCAAAAAATTTTATTTTTAAACCTAACCTATAAAAATCAAGTTTTGCTTTAAAATAGTCGCCACTTATAAATGTTCAGTGAACAGTCATGTGAGAAAACTCATCTTTTGACTAGGTTGCATCCTGGGGGACTTCTTTGAATTTAATGATTCTTGAGAGTTGATATAACAATTTTTATGTTTGTTTTTTTTACCACTCTATATTAATTTATCTATATAGCCCCTAAAGGAAATGCAAGTAACAATCGATCTAACTAGAATAATTTTCATTTAATTTGATTGCCTTATACAGAAATCAAATTATTTTTAATGATTTGTATAATGTTTTCACCTCTACTTTTGATGACTTTCTGTTCTTCATACTGGCTGATTCAATTAGAATTACCTGAAATGGGTAATGGATATTAAATATATGATATACTGTATATCTCCCCAAGAGAGCTGTGCTGTATTTCTGCAAGAATCTGCATATTTGCTTAACCAACACAGTACCTATTTAAAGGAACTATAGTTAACATGGCATTTTGGTGCAGAGGCGATACAGGCTGAACAGGTTCACTGTGCTCATAGACTTACGTTCCCCTGTAACATACTGTTTTGTAGGTGGACAATACAGCCATAACAGACATATTTTGGTGATCAGGGCACTGCTACTCTGATAACAATTCACTAGGATTGTACCAGGTCTGGCAGGTTAAAAATAAAGACTTTAGTTAGAATTTGATTTCTTTTTAATGAGCACAATAATTAGCATTTTAACAGAGCAAATTCTTCATGCCTAAAAGATTTTGTATAGCAACAAATGAGTGTAGGGTATCTGCAGGCTCAGTTACAGGCTTCTGGGAACATTGTCTTGGGAAATGGTCTTATTTATTATTTATGATATATCTTTATTATTATTTACGATAGAGTTTTCGATTCTGGGAGAAGCAAGGAGTGGGGTCAGCAGAACTGCTACCTTGGACTTCTGGAAGGCAGACTTCGGGCTTTTCAGGAGCCTGGTTGACAAAGTCCCCTGGGAGGCAGTCCTCCAGGACAAAGGAGCCCAGGAAGCCTGGATGTTTTTCAAGAAGGAGGTCTTAAAGGCACAGGAGCAGGCTGTCCCCGTGTGCCGAAAGACAAGCTGTCAGGGAAAAAGACTGGCCTGGCTGAACAGGGAGCTAGGGTTGCAACTCAGGGAAAAAAAGAGGATTTATGGCCTTTGGAAGGAAGGACATGCCACTCAAGAGGACTACAAAGAGGTAGTGAGGCTATGTATGGAAAAAATCAGGAGGGCCAAAGCCCAGCTAGAA